TTTGCTCATTTTCCGCCTCCCCTAGAGTTAAATAGTTGAGTTTTACCGTTTTTCGAATCCATTCAGCCGATCTCCGGGTCTGGCGGTAGCACTTTTAGCTGTAGCTTATCATAAATCATTGAATCTGATTAGACCGTTAGCATCTCGCTCAAAAATGACCAAAGAGTTTCTATATTTTTCCTATTTAAAACTTGACTCTTCTGTAGTTACATCGTGTACTAAGAAAACTCTTGAAACTCTAGAAACTCTTTGGTCATTTTTGAGCGAGATGCTAACGGTCTAATCAGATTCAATGATTTATGCTAAGCTACAGCTAAAAGTGCTACCGCCAGACCCGGAGATCGGCTGAATGGATTCGAAAACGGTAAAACTCAACTGTTTAACTCTATAGTGGAGTTGGAAAATGAGCTTATTTTCAAAAATGGTGGAGTGTTCCTTTAAATTGTCCCTATTATGCTTTTCCGAATATTACCTTTCATGCAGTGTGTCATGTAGCTGTATGTGAACATAAACTATCTGCAAAGTTGTGAAGCCGACAGTGCACGATAAATAAAGTTATTGTCTATCAAAAAAAAATCGGCTCTCAAATCGCAATAGCCTAAAGGAGTCGTCAGGAATTCTAATCTTATTCTGTTATGGCTCTACATCACGAAGTAACACATTTGCATAATGTCTGCCCACGTTCTACGTAGCCAACTTGCCCGCCCACAAACAGTACAATTTCCTTCCTTAATTCCTTGTGGTTAACATCATGTCAAGAAGACGCTGTATCCTACACCGTGAGAGTAAATTTGTTTTATCACATCTTATAATTACCACAAACTTGTTAACACTTGACACTTACCACTGAGAAACGACCTGCTCCAGTCATGCTTGCTTCTCTTGTCTATCAGCCAGTTCAACCGTTTCATCATCAGACTCTGGCTCGAATTGGTAAGGTACAAACGATACCATCTTTTCTATTCATTGACATGTCTCCAGGGCTGTCATTCCATCATGGCAATGGGCGTTTAGTTTCCGACACGCGCTGTACGTGGTAGACCAATCCAGAGCCAATCTCTCTACGGCTCTGGACCAATCACAAAGGACTGCGCCATCTGACCAATCACAGCAGTGACGGCTCAAGGAAAGGAGGGATTTAGAGAGACTGATTCTCTGAACTGCCTCAAAAACCTGTTTTAGGAGACTCCTAATACAATATTACCAACCTTAAAAATGGCATAATAAGGGCACAAGGAAAATGGCCGTTGCGATTCTCAGCACAGTATGTGGTGTTTCGTTTCTGAATTAATCAGTGTTTTGAACGAATCGGCCCATTGAATCATTCAGTGACTCACTCATAAACTTGATTGGATCCTGAGTAAATTACTGTTTTGAACGAATAGGTTGACTCAGAGCCGTAGAGAGAGAGAGTTGCGACAACTCCGTTCACTCCAATGGACCAGTTTTTTACAGCAATGGCGGATCGTGGAGCCGCTCAATAGTTCCCGGAAGTTAGCGCTCATACTATCAGCGCCGTAGAGATGCAGCAGAAGAGACCGCTGTGACGAACTTTTAAAAGGTAAGACATTTATAGAACAAAATAGTATATTATCAGCACAGCTAATCAAATTACCCTGTACATTAAAACAGATTATTATTAGATTATTCCTCACTTAATTAGTAGATTTACGGGATGTTATTCATTCTCTTCATGCAGTTTCATCTTTCATCCATCGTTGTGTAATTAAAGCTTTTAAAGGTGATTTTGCTGGTGGGGAGTTATTTAATAGACTTGGATATATTGCAAAGGATGCAGATGGACCTAAGTGAGAATGAAAAGTTTGAAATAGGCGAGCAGTTTTCATTTCAGAATCATGCTAGGCTAAATTTCCAAAAAGTATTATATACATCACAGTAAATCTATACATTATTACTGTATTTTATAATTAAACGTCTTAGCTACTAACGTACTGTGTTGAAGGACCAGACCGAGCAGTGATGCCACAGGACTGCAATGTGATGGAGTCTTTTAAAAACAACACTAATATAACTACATATATATACTACGTATACATTATTTTATAAATAATGTAAATAAATTATTTTATTGTCTACTAATTACCAAAAATCACAGTTCTGTCTCTCCAACTCAATGCATTTCAATTGCCCGCTATGAACTTCCTGGAACTATTTGAGGTCTACGTGAATCACGTGACGATCGAGCGTTTTGGACTTCCGTTGACGCAACTCTCTCTTTCTATGGCTCTGGGTTGATTTATATGAATATATGACTCACTTATAAAGATTATCTGCCGCCACCTACTGTCTTAATTATGTAACCTTCCTAAAACAGTGTTGTGTTTGTTAACTAATACTAAAATTAAAACTTAAAAAAAAATTTTGTTAACTGAAATAAATCTGAAATTAAATAAAATATACCTTAGGTCAAAAACGTAAACTTAAAAACGTTAAAAGAGCATATGAAATGTTGCCTTTGCAACTAAGTGAAACAAAGTAGTTGAAGTACTGAAATTACTAAAACTGAAATAAAAATTGTTTAAACTAAAATTCAAATATTAAAAAATAATAAAAAACAAAAATTACAAAAGCACAAAATAAAATTGCTAAAACTTAAGCTAAAATTAAAATGAAAACTCCATATAAATAATATAATGCTAATTCATGCTATAACAGATACATAATCCTAAAATATAATTGGTCTGCAACGTACAACAAGGCAGAGTAATAACAGTGGTCCCAGTGCTGCTGGACTGTATATCAGCACTTGTGGAACGTTGCAATCACTACAGTTGTCTATTTAAATAATCCTAAATAGTCCGAGTATTTAATTCGTTGTGTAAATAATTCTAATCAAGATATCGCTGGGGTAAACCTGGGCATTGATGGGTTAAGCAATATGATACTTCTCTGTGTAATCACTTGTGCTCATCCCACATTCTCTGCACACTCTGTGAAGCTACCATTACAATGAAAGAGGGCAAAAACAGGTGTGCACACACTCACTCACATTCTCATGCATCACTGTTCACTGCCTGAAGTGGACTGCTGCCCATGCCAGCAGGGATCTGTCATGTGCCTCACGCCTGAAGTTAAAGCTCTGTCTTGTCTGTTCGCTTATCGTGGCTTGTGTGTGCTTGCTGAAGATTGTAGTATATGAGGCAGAACCAATGTATTGCGAGGTAGGATAGGACACTGTATATTCTTTGACACAGTCAGTTTTGGAGATTTAATTGAATTTTGTTTAACATATTTTGATTTCTAACAGTTTGATAATGTCTTGGCAGGTTTACAAATGTGTTTTATACAATATCACTGTTTTTACACGTTTCTCTGGTGCTTGTATAATTGTAGGTATCTTTGGCCAGCACCTGGAGGACACAGTACAGTATGAGAGAAAGTTTGGACCCCGACTGGCCCCTCTGCTGGTGGAGCAGTGTGTGGATTTCATACGGGAGCAGGGTCTGAAAGAGGAAGGTCTCTTTAGGATGCCAGGACAGGCCAACCTGGTCAAAGAACTCCAGGATGCTTTTGACTGTGGGGATAAGCCTCTGTTTGACAGGTAAGACAAGTTCGAAACATCCATTTACATTTAATCATTTAGAAGACACTTTTATTCAAAGTGACTTACAAATAAAGAGTAGCACAAGCAATTTATCATAAAAGCCAATAATATTTGCAGTAAATATTGCCAAGTTTAAATTATTAGTTAAGAGTAGCACACAAGCTGTAGCAGAAGTCAAATGCAGACAAGTAGCTTTCTTTGGAAGGTCCAATTAACTGATTATTAGAAACCATTTAGACTGATGTGGATTTCAGTCTTAGAAAGAGCATTAAGATGCTTTAAAGATTATGCTTCGGACCACCAGTTTATAGTTTCTACTGTATATCTCGACTGGCTTGTAAGGGTGCTAGACCAGTTTACCATAATTGTCTAGTCACGAAAACTAAACTGAAGTATTTGTGTATCCCCTGACCTGTGTGTGACCTCTTGCAGTAACACTGATGTTCACACAGTGGCATCCCTCCTGAAGCTCTACCTCAGGGAGCTGCCGGAGCCTGTGATCCCTTTTAACAAATATGAGGACTTTCTAACCTGTGCACAGCTTCTGCTAAAAGATGAAGAAGTGGTGAGTCTGCTATACATCAGTATTTAAATGAGATAAAATTAATAATGATTGCCCTTGCAAAAAAAGAGATACTCTTTAGTTTAGGAGTCTTTATTATGAAAATAATATACTTTTAAAGAGTATACTTATAAGTATATTGTGTACTGAATGTAATGTTTTCAGACACTTAATTGCATGTTATTTAATATATAACTTATTATTGTATTATATTGCAAAATTATTTTAAATGCAATTAGTTGAACTTGAAAGTGCTTTTTTGAACCGCTTAAGTGCACTTAAGTACATCTTTATATGTCATTTCATAATTTCCTTTGAAATATGTTTAAAGTGCACTAATGAATATTCTGACAAGCATTTATAGTAAACTAAAATATACTTTACTTTAAAATATATTCACTTTCAATGTAATATGAAAAAACACACTGCAGTTAAAATTATAATCAAGTACATTACATGTGTTTTAGTATGTTAGTCAACACATCAATATAACTGTTTTACTTTAAAACATGACAAAAGATTATAGATTAGAACAACGATTTAATATGTAAAGTAAAACTATTAATTTGACATTATTACAAAGGGCACTTCGCTTTTCTATACACTTCATTGGCCTTTTATTTCAGTAATCAAATATTATCGGCAAATACAGTTTTTAAAAAAATATATACTTTTAAGATATTTAGTACACTACAAGGGCACATTCAGTGCAATTAAGCTCACTTCTTTTTCACAAGGATGGTTTTGAAAAGCTCACTGCATTTTTTCCTCACCAAAAACCTTGTTTCCTGGATTTGTAATGGATCTTGTTCCCATGTGTCTCCTAAAGGGTCTCAGTGAGCTTGTGAACCAGGTGAACACTCTTCCTCAGGCTAATTATAATTTGTTAAAGTACATTTGCAAGTAAGTGAATATATACTGTAGCATACTATAAGTTTTCTTGTACATGGCGATGTTGTTGAAACGATTCCTTTACTGATGGATGATAAATGAATGTCTGTTGTATTCACTGTATGTTTTCGTGTAGATTCTTAGATGAGGTGCAGTCACATTCGAATGAGAACAAGATGAGCGTTCAGAACCTTGCAACAGTTTTTGGACCAAATATCCTTCGGCCTAAATTAGTGGACCCTGTTTCAATGATGGAAGGTAAGTAAGTCTTGACATAGTAATATTTATCAGTTTAATATAATTCAAGTTGAAATGACTGGTACAGCCAATCTGATTATACTTATTTATTTTTTTTACAGTAAAAAAACTCATATTTGAGTTTTTTTTTTTTTTAGGAGCCTCCCAGGTTCAGCACCTGATGACGGTGTTGATCAGTGAACATGAGCGTCTGTATGTGGGGACTGAGGGAGATGCGATTTCAGAGCAGACCAGAATTTGTCGTCAGGGTCAGCGCGGCAGGGCGGAGTGGATCTCCGATGAAGAGATGCTGAACTGCTCATCGCCGAGCCAGACGTCCAAAGTGGCAGAGAGTGTGTGTGGCAGTGCCACGTCCTTAGATATGAATACAGGTGCCCCTACCACTGCCAAAATGACACCTCAGGGAAAATCTGGGGTGACAGTCAGCCCCAGCAAACAGGCTAAATCCCTCCCCTCTTGGAAATACTCCTTCAAGAGCGGAGGGGTACGTGCTCAACCTGCAAAAATCGGGGGCTCGTCTGTGGATGTGTCCACCTTGCCCAGTACGGGCAACTGGTTGATGAACGGGCTTTCCTCTCTGCGCAGCCACCGGCGTACATCATCAGGAGAGCGCATGGGCAAGGATTCAGCCCCGTCGCACCGTCTATCCACTTACGACAATGTGACCTCATCGAGGCTCAGCATACCCAGCGTTGCAAGCACGCCCTGGTCCACGTCCTCCTGTGAGATCTTAGTGGACGACTCTGTGGGTAGTGACCCCTCTGGACTGAACTCTGTGAAGGTGGATTGGTCAGTTGGAGGGTCTGTCCAAGGGCAAAGTGGGGACAGGAATTCAGAGGTCACTAAGAGCAGCGAAGCACTGGAAATGTGTGTGAGCAGTGCAGGCTGCAGTGAGAATGGAAGTGGAGAAGATGCGGTGAACGTCACAGGAGATACTGGCATTAGCAAGACAGCACTTAACGGCCTGGTAACAGAGCTGAAAGACGAGTTAAAGAAACAGAAGGTCAACTACGAATCACAAATACGAAGGTATGTTTGAAATCCACTGCACATTGATGAAATGTATTTTGTCTTTAGACTTCGTAAGGTAAAGTTTACTTGAAACACTTAAATTAAGCTCGAAACGTGAGCAGTCGACACTTTCTAATCATTCCAGTAGTGTTAAGATCTTTTTCAAAGATAAAGTGTGTAATTTTTTCAGTGTTAAAGCAGGAATGAAACAAAAGTTGCAATTGTCATTTATTTCCTATTGTGACATATATGAGTGAAACAGCTTCTCGAAAAAGAAGAAATGTAGGATGGAACTTAATTTTATCCATCCATTATTGTTGTCACTAATTGCTGTAATCTCATGTGATTGACAGGCCAATAGCTTTGTGGTTAGTGCGTCAACACATAGTGCGACTACGCTCACGATTCGTGATTCGATTCCCGTCTCGAGGTCCTTTGCCGATCCCGCTCCCCTCTCTCCTCCCAGTGCTTTCCTGTCATCTCTCTACTGTTGTATCTCAATAAAAAAGGCATAAAAAGCCCATAAAAATTACTTAAAAATAAAATAAGTAACTGTCAATTTTGATATCAGTTTGACATCACATATTACCGCTTCTGGTTCCAAACGGATGCCAAAAGCAAGCTACAAATAGTGCTAATATACACTCAGTGTGCTTGTACTAGTAGTACTGAAAAATCATGATCCTAACCTTTATCTTCATAATGAATTCTCAGTTGGCCAGAGAGTGATTAATCTTTTATTAATCGTTATTAATTTTGAGCCCGGAGACTGTTGTTTACACTGAGTTTTTAAAAGCTGAGCTTAAATGTGTGATACAAAAAAAAAATAGTGCTCATAAACATCTGAAGCAAGTAGATGCTTGGACCCGGAAACAGTATTCCTTACATTATGACTTAACAAGTGGATTATGGTGACTAATAAAATACTTTTTATTAGTCATTTTATTTTAATATGCAGACATGAGGAAGCCATTTTGTTGGTTGATTTTCCATGAAAAAGAGTAAAGACTGTGGACCTTCTTCTGTCTCTGCCAATAGAACAGAGTGTTTGAGAAACCTCCTTGACAACATTTATTATTTTTGCATTCTTATTTGATATTGCTAGTGGTGCAGAAATTGCACACTTTATGTATAGTAAATAGTGTATCATTTAAAAGAACAAAACCATTTTTGAGCAACCTTCAGAAGTTCAAAAAAAGTGTATTTTTATTTATTTATTTATTTTTATAGTGTGTTATTAATATTTTGGGAGAAGAACACCTGCTATTTGTAAATAATAACAACATTTTTATGGAGTTTTCTTTGTATTTCCTACAGTATCACATAGAGTACTTGGCATTAATGTTAAAATCTAATTATCATAATGAATTTTTCTAAGGCTAGAGGAATCAAGTGTCACTATGCGTAACCAAATGGAGAGACTAGAGGAGGAGTTGGACCAGGAGAAGAAAAAGTATCGCATGTTGGAAATTAAACTCCGTAACTCTGAGCGAGCCCGTGAGGACGCAGAGACCCGCAACCGCTTGCTTCAGAACGAGATGGAGGAGTTCTTCTCCACTTTGGGAGATCTTACGTTGGGAACAAGGACAAGCAAAATTTGACTGGCCCTCTTACAGGCCTCCTGATTTAACACTGAGAGACTATGTGTTTGTTGTAGATAGAATTTCGAAACCTCTCTGCTCATGCATCATGAGTATTCAGAGGTAATTTTGTGCTGTTTTGTTACAGCGACTTGATCATGTGTAGCAGTTACACTTTTCTCCCTGATCTTCAGTCTTACATTTTAAAGGGATAGTTCACACAAAAATACAAATGCTATGGTTATTTACTCACCCTCATATTGTTCCAAACCAATATGCTGTTTTTCTGTAGAGAACAAAAGGATAATTTTTGAAAAATCTTCACAAGTAGTGCACATTTTGTGTGAAGAACATACCAAAATGTAAATCTTGTTCTTAATGTCAAACTTGCCACTTCTTCTTTGTAAATAATAACAATATTTTCATTTTCAGGTGAACTATTCCTTTAAGGTGCCATTCAGTTTCCATTAGCATTCATCACTTTCATAACTTAACACGCACAGATAATACCAAAGCATGAGATTTCTGACTGTCTCACAAAGGCAGGTCATTTTAATGGCATTTCCTGTTAATGCATGGTATGAAAGATGTCCTGCTGAACTGTCTCAAGGTTTTGGTGAAATTATCACACAAGCCTTTTTCGAGTCTAAATCATTTAAAACCAGTCACCATATACAAGCTGCATCCCGTCACACTTCCAGACATGAGATCAACTGTTACACCATCAGACCTCACATACACAAACTCTTTTCAGCAAATCCCTTTATTGTAAGTAAAATGCACTAGAATAAAAGACCATTTTTGGATTAGGTGAGGTAACTCCATCCAAACTGTACAACTGTCCAATTGTACAACAACTGTTAAAATCTCAGCTATATTGAAAGATTATTTCAGCTGCAAGATTGCCAAGGCTAGTATTTATTTAAGCTTTCTCAGGTGCTGTTTTTCAAAACACTCAATGAATGAGTGTCTTTATATAAAATAGATGATGGAACTAAGGCTGACATATACTTGAATGTGTTAAAAGTATTTTTTTTTAAGTATGCACATAGCCTACTGTATGTTCGTGTGGTCGTTTTTTCTGTTAATTGATTCCTGAATGCAGAAAGTGCCAAAGTAGAGGTCTTCAATAAATGGGTGTTTAATTTCTTTATTATTATTATTATTATTAAGACTGACTAGTCTTCCTAATAAATTGTCGTTGTCATCAAAATAATTCTGTGACTTTATGATGCATCAAGGAAAGTCTGAAGTTAAGATAGTGAAAACTGAATCATATACTTAGTGATAATATTGTACAAAAGATATTTGTTTTCTAACAAACATTTCAAAAATTAAAAAAGGGATAATTCACCCAAAAATGAAAATTCTGTCATCGATTACACTCGTCTTACACTACACATTTGTTCATCTTCAAAACAAAAATAAGTAACGAACCCGCACACTATCAATACTTGCTAATTCTTAAACTTTATTAAATGGGTCATACGATGCGATTTCAATTTTTCTTTTTTTTAACCTTAAACCGCATAAACACATTTCATTACACCAAATACACAAAATAATGTTCTTTTAACAACATATGACCCCTTTAAACAGAATTTCGGTCCACTGACCTTCATCAGGCAAATGTCAAATGCCACATTTGCCTGATGAAGGTCAGTGGACCGAAACGTTGCGTTTAATAAAGTTTATTAGCAAGTATTGATAGTGTGCGGGTTCGTTACTTATTCTTGATTCTACTTTTTGTTTGATTTTGTTACCATGCACCTATCCTCGTTTCAGGTGTGCTGAGTTTACGTTGATTTCATCTTCAAAACAAAAATGAAGATTGTTTTAATGAAACCTGAGAGATCTCTGTACTTCCATAAAAAAAGTCCATTCTACCAAAACTTCAATGCTTTGAGAAGTATGTACGTTTGAGTTTACGTTTACCATATTTTATGTGCTTTATATGTTCTCTGATCAATGTTTATATGTGAATAAAAGCCTAAGTAAATCTGTTCATCATATAAAGCAATTGTGTCTACTCAAGAGGACTTGGATTAAACCACTCGATTCATATCAAATTTCCTTTATGAACTTTTTTAATAGGCGTCAAAAGTTTTTGTTGAATGGACTTTTAATAGAGACAGAAATCAGTTTTTTAAATACCTTCATTTGTTTTGAAGATGAATGAACGTCTTATGGGGTTGGAATGACATGAGGGTGAGTAAATGATGACAATTTTCATTTTTGGGTGAACTAACCCTTCAAAGTCTTTGGTTATATATATAGAAAGCAGCAACAATTTCCAAAGTTGTTCATGGTCAAGAAAGATAAACTAAGAATAACTTCTTGGAGAAGGGACAATAATGGGTAAACGAAAAAAAAACACACACACAAAAGCAAACTCATTTTCCAACTGTTTATTTCCATTTTTCCAGTTGTTATGATGTTAACAGTTGAATTTCAGTGCATTCTAATGAGGTGGTAATCTGCTAACCCTAATATAAAACAACTGCATCAGCTTGTGCAGTCTAATAAACCCAACACCATGATCTTATGGTTCTTGTAGTGTTTTGGACTTAAAATCAAATGCTAAGCAGCAGGTCATGCAAGATACCGCCCATCGTTGAGATTGGGAATGAGAAACTTTTCCTCTCCATTTTTATTATTCTCATTTCTTTTTCTCGAAACAGCAAAACATGGACAGAATCCTTCCAAACATTTTCGCATAGATGTCGAGTCTGAAATAACGGTTCATTGTTCAGCTTTGAGTTACTGCACATAAGCTGAAGAAAACAAAACAGTCTAGATTAGAATAAACCAAGACATACTCGCTGAATTGTATACACATACATACTGTACTTTCTCACAGATTCAAACTATACAGACAGTTGAACACTCCTATTTTTCTGAATAAATAAATAAAATGAAATAAAGGTTACAATAATACTTTTAAAATGTAGCAGTATAGCATCAGTGTGAGGTAGTTCAGACTCCACCTTCAAATGGCTCTGTGTTTCATGCCTAAAACATATCACATGCTCAGAAGCTTTTGCTCTTTGCAGGTACAGCAGGCTCAGGCTTCCCAGGCAAGTATATAGGGTTAAAAATCATTGCCACTGTTAAGAGCACTTAAAAACAAAACAACAATAATATAAAGTAATAGCAAAATATTGAGTTTTTACCCTGTGCACAGGTAAATATATCCAATGGGCTGAACCCCATATGTCAACAACATTCAGATTCCCTCTAAACTCCACAACTTCAGGCCGATTCGGCATTCTCTATCACCTTCACATTCAGAAGCAAATGTAAAAGAAACCCACTTCCCTGATTTTTCTTAAACGTTTTATCAAATAATGTGTGGAGCTCCACAGTATTCAATGACACAAGTTACAAAACACATATGTACAGTAGGTCAATCCCCAAAACAGTAGGTCCCATTCATTTACAGCACATCATATGCCAATAAAGACCTTCCAACCTGACGGGGGAAAAAAACAAACAAAAAAAAACACTAAAAGTAAAACCGATCTAGAGATAAATTATTTTCAAATCTGGTTCATTCACTGTTGTACAAAAATAAATAAGTAGCTTAAAACTCTAATGGAATATGCTAAAAATTAACCAGTGTAGACTCTATTGTTGGTGTTCCAAATAATAATAATAATAAAATAATAATTGTAAATTATTAACATTTGTTCTACCAGCTCAGGAAATTTCTGACTCATATGTCACAAAACAAAACCTTATTAAGGGTTGGAAAAAACAGAGAAAAAAAATGCAAAATGCAATGATACAATAATGAAGCGCAATGCTTGTTCTATACGCAGATTTTGAAGAGGTAAAACAATTTTTTAATTATAAAAAATAAAAAAGGTGCTGAAATCCTAGGTAACTAGGACTAGAACAAAAACGAGAACCCCACAGACATACGCACAAGCACGTCACATTTCACATTCAACCAGGAAATTAACCAGCAGCAAAACTATTCATGAAAAAAAGAACAGCCTGGTAAAATAAATCAATGTACATATAAAAATATTTTTTTGATGTTGTAAGTTATTATATCTAAATGAAACTGTACAAAATTTAAATAAAATGTGCTGTGCACAGTGATGGAAAATATGACCCAGAAAAAGCCACCTCAGGCAAGTTATGTCAAAATGAACTTAAATAACTATGCTGATATTAATTTGTGCAATATTGTTATGTCCATTCAAGAATACTAATATGGACTTGTTTCTAAAGATTTTCATATCCCAAGTGACCAAGTAAATTATACATTGACCAGGAAAAAAAGACTCAAAATAAATTAATTTGAGAAAATATATTCACAATTCAATCTTTACAGATTACCTTCCAAAATCACTCTACAACAACTTGACAAAATACTCTAAACGTAGCTCATAAAAGAAGAGATTTGTTAAGGAGTTCACTATCATTGGCTAAGCCTATTAGGGCTGCTGCTAAAAAGATAAAATTGTGTAGTCATTTACAGCATCTAGAGCGGAACTCAAAAAAGCCACACCTGACCCAAAATGAAGTATTAAACTGGCCTAAATCTGATACCATGCCACACACAGAGAAACGCCAGGGGAAGGTGATAGTCATCTGCAGCAGCTCAGGGGTCCTGCGGAGGCCTCAAGGCTGCTGTCTGTGTCAGAGGCCACGGTGGGCTCTGTGGACATGGAGGAGACATCATTGATGGAGGAAGAGGAGGAGGGCTGGGGTGAGCCGTTGATCACTGCTGCACCTGTGCTATGTGAAACACAACAGTCAGTTAGATCGCCCGCACATGATGTGTGGTTATATGCAAATTGAAAATAAATAAAAATAAAAATAATCAACACGATCTGCATTAGACTAAGAGAAACTCGTCTTAACTAACCTAGAGGGGAAGGCTGACCTCGAATGACACCGTTTTTCATCCGTTCTTCCCAATCCAGGACTTCTTTATAGATCAGCTCTGAAGAAGACAAAGAAAGAATAATTAGAATATAATGCGAGACAAAGAATAGATGAAAGAGTGAGGTCATTTATTTTGAAGTAGTCAATTCAAGTTTATTTGCTTATTAGACTACACTACACAATTTTTATCTAAATACAATGAAGCCATTTAAGGGAATATGGCTTTAGAAATGTATCTATTTTGCACAAAAACATAGGGATTTCAATTGGCTTTAATGAAATTGAACAGATACATAAAAACTAGGGGAAATTAAT